GATTAGAGTCTTTTGCCCTTTTGTGAGTAATTTTTTTTATGAGACACACCTGCTCGCTTTATATAAATTTAATAAATCACAATTCTGCACTAAATTGCAAATAAGATAGTCTTGATTAACTACTTGCATCCTAATTGCAATAGAAATACTATTATGATTTATTATAACTATTTCCAAATTATAGTAATTTTATTGGTGATGGTTTAATTATTCATCTAACATCTTAATTACAATAAGGATACTATTATAACCAATTGCAGTTTGTATTATAGAACAAATAACTATATTTAAAAGGCGATCATTTCCTATGGCCTTTACCTCATATACTGCATATACTGTCAGACTTACTAAATTCATAGTTTGTTATAAATCATTAATTTACATCGAAAAGAAAAACTAATAACAAAAATAATATTAGTATTGCGATAAACATGGTGGATATGGTAAATATGACAATAACTAAGAATATAGTTTGTATCAAAGATATAGCATTTTCTCTCAAATCACATCCAGACAATCATTTTGTAATATCCTTTCAATGCCCATCTATTTCTCATTTTATTGCTGTTCCTATTCTTAAAACTTCACACGAAGGTGTTTGTGATCAAAAGCCTTGTTTCCTCCTTTTCAAGACTATACTCGGACGTTCATTAGAAACAAAATAAAATGTGACAATAAATCTTGCTTTCTGCATAAAATTAGTCAGCGTAGGATCGCTTGTTTGGCAGAATATTTATGGAAGACCATAACAACTAAGGTTAAATCCTATTTTGCAGTTTAGAAATACCCAAAATTCATCAGACTCTACTAAATTTCTAACATGTTTTCTTTTATTTGGTCCTTTATTTCTCTCATCATTTTATTACTCTTTTATTAGCTGCTATAGATTAAATATCTGCTTTAATGATCTCAAATATTTACTTGATCATATATTAAATTTTTTTTGAACTAATTTTTGTTTTTCGAGTGTTCGATCACACCAATATCATTTCTGAATTATTGGATTGATCGATTTTAAAAACTGTATTAAATTTTTTTTTTTTATATTAAATTTTTTTTGGATGTATTTTTTTTTTTGATATTAAATTTTTTTGGCATTAAATTATTTTTTGGTAATAAATCTTTTTTCTAACATTAAATTTTTTTGAGGCATCAGATATTCTTTTGGTAATAAAATTCTTT